GTTAGAAAAAGTTGATTCAGGAGATCCTAAAATAACACAGCTTAACTTTATTAATTTTATACCTGGTTCTGTCATTGCTATTCGGTAAAAAATTATAAAATTTATTTTAATTCATACACATATGTAATTATATTTTATAATTATAATATTATTATAGGGTATCTCTTCATGCTAATATAAAACCTGCTTTAGCCAAACTTCAGAACACTATTTCTTTAATTACATCAAACAAAAGCTCAGAATTGCGAGTTATTGTATCTCGTATGGATCTTGTAGATCTGAATAAAGCTCTCTATAGATGTGATCAAGAAGAACGTGATGAAACTTCAAATAAATTTGGAGTATATGATATACCTGGTTATGGACCTTTAGTATATGCAGGATTACAAGGTAATTTAATATAATAAATTACCATTTTTTATGTAAATTATAATAAATAATATATATTTATATTTATTTGCATTTTCATTAGGTGTTATGTCTGTGTTAGCAGACATTCGACCAAATAATGATCTTGGCCATCCTTTATGTGCTAATTTAAGACAGGGAAATTGGTTAATAGGTAATAATAATAACATATTTTGAACTGCCATAATACTGATATCAAACGAACAATTTATATATTTTACATTATATTAAATAGATTATATTTGGCAACGGCTTAAAGAAGATCATGGTACTAAAGTTCTTGGAGATTGGTTGGAGGAAGTAGTTGAACCATTCAAATTAATTCCACGTTATTTAGTACCAAGTTACTTTGACGTGATTGTTACTAATGTTTATATTACTTTGCTGGAACAATGTTATGCTTTAATGTCAAGGTATTAATGTTTGTGCTATTATATTAAATTAACATTTATTAAAATAATATTATTATTCAAAATAATTATACTATTATAATTACAGTTTTGTTAAGGATGGTTCTACTTTTATTAAAATACTATCTTTAGTCTCAGTACAAATGGGAGGTATAATAAAATCAGCTCAATTACCAGACTTATCACCAAATTTAGATCCTCCTAAGCCAAAAGTTATACAATATAACGGAGAAACAGAACAAATATGTTTAACATTATCAGCAGGTCTACCACACTTTGTGGTAGGATACATGAGAAACTGGGGTAGAGATACATTTATTGCTTTAAGAGGTTTACTCCTTCTAACGGGTAGACACCAAGAAGCAAGATTCATAATTCTAGGATTTGCTGGTACTTTACGACATGGTTTGATACCAAATCTTTTAGACAAAGGAAAAAATGCAAGGTAAAATAAATATAAATGATCATATATTTAAAAATATTAACTTAATTATTATATATGTAATGTATCTATTGTTTATAAGGTATAATTGTCGCGATGCCTTGTGGTGGTGGTTGTATACTATTCAATGCTATATTCAAGAAGTTCCTAACGGTTTAAAGATCCTATCAGATAAAGTTTCAAGACTCTTTCCCAGTGATGATTCTCCCCCATTGTCTGCAGGACAAACTGTATGTTTTTATTTTAATATTTATAGCTTTTATATATTTCTAAATAAACCATTAATACAATATGATCGGTAAAGTATGACTGAAATATATGTATGAATACATTTTAGGACCAACCTTTATATGATGTTATACAAGAAGCACTCATGGTACATTTTCAAGGACTATGCTTCAGAGAAAGAAATGCTGGAAAACAAATTGATGAACATATGACTGATAGAGGATTTAATAATCAAATTGGTGTACATCCAGAAACTGGTTTTGTTTTTGGAGGTAATGATGCTAATTGTGGAACATGGATGGATAAAATGGGATCGTCTGAAAAAGCTGGTAACAAAGGAAAACCTGCTACACCAAGGGACGGCTCCGCTATAGAAATAATTGGTCTTAGTAAAAGTATTTTGAGTTTTCTAGCTGAATTATACAAACAGAATCTGTTCCCTTATGGTAGTGTCCAAAGGAAAAATCGTGATGGTAAGAAAAAATGTGCAGTTTTAAAAACATAAGACATTAAATACATATATATATTAAAATATAATATCTTATAATATTTTATTTATAATACATAATAGGAACTGTAATAACCTGGAGTTATAAGCAATGGGCAGATAAAATATCAACAAATTTTGAAAAATATTTTTATATAAACGAAGTGTCCACAGAAGGTGAATTAAAACCCGAATTAATTCATCGCCGTGGCATATTTAAGGATAGTCATGGGGCCACTCAAGAATGGGCAGATTATCAATTACGTCCTAATTTTCCAATTGCTATGATAGTTGTAAGTATTCTTTTATCTTAAATTAGACACAAAAATTGTCGTTTTTGTCATATGTGTTATAGTAGTAAATTCATTATATCCTAAAGGCTCCAGAATTGTTTAATCCACATCATGCATGGTCAGCATTGAAAAAAGCAGAAGAATTTTTGTTAGGACCATTAGGAATGAAAACATTAGATCCTGCAGATTGGGCATATAATGGTTATTACGATAATTCAAATGATTCTAATGATACTAAACTTGCACATGGGTGGAATTATCATCAAGGACCAGTAAGTTAACTGACATTATTAATTAAATCTTTTATATTATGTTATTAGTATTTGTAAGAGAGAAGAATCTATAAAATATTGCTTTTTAGGAATGGATTTGGCCAATGGGTTATTTTCTGAGAGCTCGTTTATATTTTGCTCCGTTAGTTGGGGGTATAGATGAACTGCGCCGCACGATTGAATCAACTGAAATTATTATTTCACGACATTTTGTCGAGGCATCTACTAATCATTGGCGTGGTCTTCCTGAACTTACTAATAAAGATGGAGAATATTGCAGAGATAGTTGTCGAACACAAGCATGGAGCGCTTCATCTATACTAGAGGTCTTTTTTATATATAATCATAACAGATCTACCTGAAAGATTTGTCCGCTTTTGAAGATAAAACTTTTTGGTAGACCTAAAGAAAAAAGAAATTAATTTTATACAAATATGTTTTTGCAGGTTCTTCATGATTTAGATAAAATCAAACAAAAATTACAATCTGAAAATCAGGATTCAGTAAATTGATACAATTTTGCGTGTGTTCACCACCGCCGACTACACTTAGAATGTTTAAACTTAGAAAAAAAAGGTAGTATTAGAAAAAAAACCGATCACGAAAATTTATGTACTCTTGAGAAGGTAATAGTAACACAATGCACGGAGACACACGCATATGATAAACAGCACGTTAATTTAACTAACGCACTACCAAGCAGCACTATAACAACTTTCCCTGCAGTTGATGAAATTTTTTCGTCGGAATCTAAAAAAATAACGATAGAAGATGATACAGAAAATAATGACGAATCCAAAGTAAGAAAACAATATTATAATTCTGATTCTAAGAATGATTTAGAGGCTATTGAAACTTTATTTGATGCAACAGAAATGTCTAAATCTCGCGAAGTAGATGTTACTCATAAGACTGCAAAATTCATTCGTGAAAATGAGATACTTGCAAATTATTCTAAAAAATATTTCAATAAAAATAAAGAGAACATAGTCGATAAAACTAATATAAAACTTTCATCACCAAGTGATCATATTTACGAGGAAGTTGGAAGAATTAAAGAGTCTCAATACTGGCCTGAATTTGATATTTTAGATTATTATGAAAAATATAGTCCTACAACGGCAAAGACTTTAATAAATACTCTTCTTTTACCAAGACAAAGAATATGTAAACAATGTGCCAGTTTAAAATATAGTCCAGTATATAGTGATCGATACATATACAAAAAAAAATCTTTATATGCTAAAGAAGTTATTTTACATAATCTTAACGATATATATTATTTTAAATATTCTTCACGTGAAACGAAACGTGATCAATTATTTTCAGAAAACAATGATAATATTCAAGACTGTATGCCGTTTTATAATTACTCTAAAGCTACTAAATCAGGAATATTTTATTCATGTGGGCCACCAAAAGAAATATTTGATCTTAAAGCAACGTTGGATCCTGAGATTATTATTATATCCAGTACTGTTAATTTAGTCAATGATGTAGTGAATACACAACTATATCATCGTTATATAAATGATAGATATACACGAATATCCAGAAACGGATATATACCTATGACTTTTGAAATTAATCATGACAATATTCTCAGCACCATAAAAAACATAGGCTATGATACAGATTTACAAAATTGGATGAATTACCGTAACAATTTTTTACAATCAAGTACTTCAAAACAAGATGAATTAGTATTGCCAGAGCACCAACCAAATAGATCAAGCCTATTACTATTAGAACCGTTATTACTAATGCCAGATTTAGCAAGTTCTAGGCAAAGGCAAAATAAAAATCGTATTCCACATACAGAAAATATCAAATTAATCAAAATAATTATTGCTTATACTTTATCATTTTTTATATTAGCTATTATTACGTTCTATATAGTATATTTTACGTAGATTTTAAATATTTCTTGCAATATAATATAGAAAAAAAAAAGGAAATTTATTTAACATTTTTATGAGTTAAATACAATTTATTATTTTATTGGATGTTGATTGTTATTTTTTTTTTTTTTTTGGAATTTATTAATTTTAACTTAATTAATATTATTTATATATGCTTCTTATACAATTGAAAGATGATAAAAATTTTATTATAATCGTTCGCTTCGATAATTAGTTATATGAGTATGTAATTATGCTCATATTATTTCTGTTCTATGCAGCATTGTAAGAAAATAAAATAAAATAAAAATATGAATCGAATTTTTAGTTAATTATATTATTTATTGGGTCTCCTTAATTTTTGTCTTAAAGATCGACATTAAGGAGTATTAAATTAAAAGCTGTTTTACCCTACACTTTAGATATATTTATTTTCGTTAAAAAGTAAATAATCATACATAATAGCGGGTAAATGCAAGCTTTTTATATAATATTTCTATATTATTACAAAACATAATTTTCATAGTAGTAAAATGTTATTTTTCCAGCTAACAATTAATTATTAAATTGTGAATAATAATAATCAAATAAAAATTTGATTATATCTGTTATAATAGGTTAAATTTGAATGTTTATTTTTAATATTTATTTTAAATATCATCAAACAATCCTTTAGGTGCAGGCCCTACGCGATTTGAATTTGATGGAAACGACTTTGCATTATCTGAATGTACTTCATACAAATTATCACTTTGATAACCACGATCAAAGTGACTGTTTGCACCATATGAATTTATTTCAGAAGTTGTACCAACATAGTAATCTGTTGGATCAAAATCACGTAATAGACCAGCTCCTGCTGACTCCACAGATTCGTCTCTTTTTAAAGAACGTACTAAAACAAATGTTCTTTGACAATTTTTGTAGAAAATATTAAATGACGTAAACAATTTTTCTGTTATTACAATTATCATTTATAACATATAAATTATAATTACCTGTATCCATGTTCTGTCTAGATGTTCTATAACGAGAATTTCCAGTATTACTGAAACGTTCTTGGTATTCACGTCTCCTATACATAGCATCTTCTGCTCTTTGTCGTTTTCGTCTTTCTGTACAAAAATTTAACATCTCTATTAAACTAATAAAACATTATTTAATTTATAACTAATTGGAAAAATAAATTACAAACAGATAGAAATATACTTAGGGATCAAATATAAATTAATATTTAAAATGTACCTCGTATAATAAGTTCTCTTCCTTCTTCTACAAGATCTGTTGTAAATTCGTCTTCATCAAGAAATTGTTGAAATCCTAGCATCGAAAGTAATCTACTTCCTAAACTAAAATAGGTTGCCAAACAAAAAGCTAATATTGCCATTGGAAAATAGACATTAAATCCATCAGAAATAATGGATATAACATCCATATGACCCATTACCTATAAGCATACAAAAAAATAATACATATATTATTATTATACGTACTTGTTATTACAATTAGATCTATTTTACCTGAGTATAATGTGTTTCCAAAATGTGCGTTTTTATAATATGAGAATCCATATGAATAAGTCCCAAAAAGTTAAGACACATGGGTGGCGTCAAGCGACATAACATCATGCCACTGAATATCAAACTATACTCATTCGTTTGATGGTGTGGTGCCAAATAATATAAATTTAAGACACGAATTTTTAAAACAGTTGAATAAGCACAATAACAAAGATAACCAATGATGTATGTAGACAATGCCTAAGGAACAAAATTTTATATTATCATGCACCACCAATAAGAATTACATTATAAAAAAATAAATATAATATTATTTACCTCTATTGTTAAATAATCATAATTTTCTTCAGCTATTTTAACAAATTGTGCAAACAATGACAGAACAGGTGACTTATTAAAAAATGTTACTTCTGACCACACAACAGCTACAGATAAACAAGCAGCACAAATGGCAGCAGTCTTCTGAACATAACTTTTAATAATACATTTCCAATACCATTCTGTAATTATATTTACAAATATACAATCTTATGGGTGTGTAAATTTTTTTATATTAAAGTATTAAAATGTTATATATACTAGATTTTAAATACATTAATTTATTAAATTTCATGTTTCTTACCAATAACTGGATTATAAATTAGTCGAAGAGGAAATGATCGATGTACAGGAAATGTTGGTTTAAATCTTCTCTCATGACTGACTTGATTTTTTTCTACGTCTTCCAAATGAAAAATCTTATCCACTGTAATACCCCATAAAGTTTCTACACGTTGCAATGTCTGTAAAGCTTTAATAGTCTGAAAGAAATGATCAAAACCATTTATAAAAATATATATATATATATATATATTTTATTATGTAATATTAAAATAAATATAAGAAAGAAATAATATAAAACCTGTCTGTGTAATCGAATTAAGGATTTTTCTGAGGGAGTATCAATTGGTGTATCATCTGGTAACTGCCTTCTGTTCATTCTATCTTTTAGTTCAACAGGTATTTTTTGAAAAATTATTTCCAGATAAGAATGATATGGGTGGCCTGGCCCAATAGATATTGAAGCAGCTTGTAAAGACTAAAGAGAAGTTTATTTACTCTGTGACATCATTGTAATTTATGAAAGTATTTACTATACTTCATTATAAATATAAATAAAAATACCTCAAGTAAGTCATCTACTGTTTCTTCGGCCTCACATTTGTCTAAACTTAATTTAGCTATTTTAAAATAACTATAATGTAGAGTATAACCAGGTTTACTAGCATTCCATAATCCACGTGGTACTTCTACAAGTGCATATCCAAGAAGTAATACTAATAAAAATAAACCCCATGTATTTGATGCAGAGGAAGCAATAGCTTTTAACTTTTGACTAAAAATACATCAGTTTAAGATTATAATGTCAAAGATTTGTTTAACATATATATATATATTATACATTCCTTACCCATCTAGATGTAATCCAGGCTTTAATGCGATATATATTAATAAGATACCGCAAATGAATAAATAACTTCCATAATAAATGGCATTATCAATAAGTGCAGATTTTAACTTTCCTTGTACTGTAAAATCGCCTGCTTTTATATAAGACTGCATCAAAGGAAGTATTAACCATGTTAAACATTGTGATGTCCAATAAACAATTCTCCATAATTTTGGGAATACACTTTCTGGTATGTTTGGTAAAGGATCTTTGCATGTATGAACTGTAGTATTTGTAGCATTATTTGTACTTATATTACTCAAGTTATGTGAGTGTTTTTCTAAGCATTGTCTATAAACAGTCTGAACAAAAAAATTGCTATTTATTATTTTTAATTCAAAAACTATAATGCATATTATTAATAAAAACATTTCATATATACCAAATTTTAATATATATATAATTTTTATACTTTATATATATTATATAATATATATGTAGCACTTACCGAAGAAACATCTAGGGGTAATATAAATATTATCAACAGTGAAAAGTACCATGCAATAAGCACCGAGACTGTAACAATAATATGCTGTTTATATACATTTCCATATTTATATAATACAGTCGCAGCAAGATAGAATGCTACAGCAATCTCTATCAAAAATGGCTCTAGAAACATTTTTGTATTATATTATCTATATTTATTTGTATTATATACAACAGCCAATGGTACACATTCCTGTTAAGGCATAAATATTTTTATTTATCTTGATGCAATTTGTTATCTATTTCTTGACTTTCTTTCAGCTTTTGTTCAGCTTCTTTCTGCATTCTTTCTAATTTCTCTAAAGTGACAGATTTTAAAGGTATCACTTTTGGTTTGCAAAGTATATAATCAGTAGTTTCCTCTTGATACAGAATTCCTTGTTTAGGAATAATTATATCGACTTGTTCAACAGTTTCATCAACAGATTCTGACATTTTTCTTTGAATTTCATGAATTTAATAGAAAAATCCTTGTTGTTCTCAAATGTCCCATAAATAAAGTTAAACTTTCTAGTGGTAAAATAAAATATCATAATATAAGACTTAAAAGAAAAGTTAGTTCAAAACACAATTACTTTATAATCATTTTAATTTAAAAAAGGTCTAATTAAAGGAATTCTATATATTTAAAAGCCCTTAATAGATATACAGAGTGGTCCATATGAATGAATATATGAAGCAAAGAATAATTGATGCCTGTAATTCAATAAGTTCAAAAACATTAATTATATATAAACATTGCATCAATGCCAACGGCAATAATTTCGAAAATTTATTGCAAATTGAGAATAGATATTCTCAATTATTCATTAAGAATAGATATTCAAAAGCAATACGAATTATTTATCTTGTAAATATTGACCTAAGATGACCTTGCATGACCTTGAATCATACGTCGTTGTACTCCACTCATGACCCACTGTTATGTTATAGAAAAAAAAAAACATATGAATCAATTTACAAAGATCAAGTTGAGATTAAAAACTTCTGTACACCACCACCCATAAAAAAAATATTGACACTACCTTATGTACTTTTTCATGCCCATATAAGTTTTGTATATAACATTTTTCTCTATTATAACAAATAATGAAAATATTTAGGTGCTAATAATTGATGGACCACTCCGTATACGACATGTGGCATTAAAATAAAATACAAAATTATTACAAATAAGAGACAATAAATATTCACAAAAACAATTAACCCACGAATCACTTTCTATAAGTATTTGGGTTAAAATAATATCGATAGAAATATTAATCAAAGAATTCCTTTTTATTTAAACATATTTTTGTCACTTAAAAATATAAATATATAATCGTTTTATAATGTCAATATACATCAAAGATATACACTCTGCATATTAGAGAATATCGACGTCACACACGTCACATATGCTCTGAATTGTTCGCAATAACTATACCTCGTGTACGAACGCATGCGCAGATGTAAATATGCCTTCACAAAAAACAAAAGGAATAAAGTGAGACGAATTGTCCTTAGAATATAAGTTTTTTTTTTTTTATAAAAATTACAATTAAATGCATTGAATAAAAAAAAGATATACATACAAACTTTTCATGATCAAAACTGTCAATATAACTCAGTCATAAACTTGTTTCTAATACATAAGAATTCTTATTTTACACGTAATCATATTTAAAAATATAAAGTGAGATTCTTTCATACTTTTAGTTCTTCTCTTTTTTTTTTTTTCAACGATATATATTCATGTCATGATGATAGAAATAATTATGTTCATAATCGAATTTATTTACATGAAAAAAATTATTAAAATTAATTATCGCTTTATAAGAAAATACTTTTTTTTTTTTTTTAAACGGATATATTTTATATAACTATTATTTATTAATTGTCAATTACTAATAAAATCGATATTAAAATATATGTAAGTAACATGTAAATATTTACAATATTTATATATATATATATATCATTAATGAAGAAAAATAATAGATATCTAACTACAAAAAAAAAAAAAACTATATCAGTATTATAAAATGCATATATAAAAGTCAAAATGTTAGTAATAAGAATTATTAAGTTAAATATATTCTTAATAACTTATTCATTCAGTATTGATTATTCAATTTTACTTATATTTCGTCCTATCTACAAAATTATTATCGTTACAAAAAAATACTGAGAATTTTATAAATCTTCGTACATAAGAAAGAATAACAATAAGTCAGCTACCCTTTTTCATTGACATTATATTTTGAAGGTGTAGAACAAGCAATGTTTTTACAATTTTCTTTCCAATCAGAAAGTGGAATTTCATCGTCAAATAATAAAAATTGTTCATTGTTATAAAACTTCTGCTTAGTTGAACTATTGTCCGTTAGATTTGTTGTACTATTCATAGAAAAAGTTAAATATCCAGTGTCTTGAATAATATTAGAAGCACTTTGTTTCTCAGACATTTCCCAGTATCTAGGGATTTGTTGTGAAGTGCACTTTCCCAATTTATAAACCTGACTAAAATCAGGAAAGTTCTTTATTTCCTTCATATTATTATCTTTAATAATTTTATCTTCTTTATCTTTAATAATTTCATTTTTTTCATTGTCTTTGATTAAAGATGTTGAATTTACTCCCACTGAATTCATTTCTGCAGTTATATCTGTTTTCGTGTTTTCATGATCATTATTGGATTTATTTGAATTTTCTTCGTTTATAGTTAAATTATCTAAAAATAAAACCATAGCTAAAATCAATTTATTAAATATTGATAGTATAAGGTAATTGTATCTTGAAAGTATAATTTCTTCTAATATTTTGTATATAAAGTATACCTGGTACTTTATCTTCGAAAACTTGCGTATTATTCGAAAGAGACATTTCCATACTACGACAAAAATTTAATTTCATAACTGGACGGGAATAATATTTTTTAATGTCATCTATTGGTGTCTCGTCAATATCAGCTATAGATGATATATTAGGTGATATATTTTCAGAACATTGTATAGGTGTTCCATAACGTTCCATTTTACGGGAACATTTCTACAAATAAGAAATTTGATTTTATATATTATGTCTTACATTGATTTATATATATAAAAATAGAAAGAAAAGTAATATTTTTAATGATTGTAGAAAACATTAATAATATAAGAAATTTAGATTATGATACCTTTAATGGTGAGCCATTATGAAACATTCCACTCTCTGGAGGACTTTTACAGAATATTGAAGAAAGATTCATTTTGATTGGGGAAACTAAGAAAGAACTTTGCTCTTCATCATCAGTACACTCATTAAAGTTGAAAAATAATTTTCTCCTTAACGAATTATAACTTAAGTTTGCATCATCGTTATCTGTGTTTGGTTCCTAACATATAGAAAATATTCATATAAATTTTGTGTTCAAAATATTATAACATAGAAATAAAATAAAACATATCAAAATTTCTACTCGACTATCAGTGTACCTCATTCTCATTAAATTTAAAATATGGTTTTAATGCTTCTTCGACATTTGTTGGTAATATTGATGGAAAAGATAAAGTTGTTTGACACGCACCTAAAATTAATCAAATAATTATTTTATCATTGTAATAACTACTTACTGATATTTATTACCATCTTTTTTGATTGGTTTAGGAGTATTTTGGAATGCATTTAATTTATCAATAAACCGCTTAGGAGTATTCTGTTTAATATCAAGTTTATTTTCTTTTCTCTTAGATTCCCATGGGCTTGGTACTATCTCATTTGTCATAAAAAATTTATCAATCGCTTCCTGAGCCTTTAATTCAACGTCTGGATCTGCATTATGTATTTGTTCTATAGGAAATTCTTCTATTTTTGCTGGTTTTATTAGAGCTAATTCTTCTACGCTCCACGAGAATTCAGGTGAATGCTGAGGATTAGTTACCTTCATAAAAAAAAATAATATATTTTATATTTAATAATAACATAAATCTCCTTACATAATAAATATATACAATATTACCTTTCTAAAAACACTTGGACTAATAACAGACTTATGTAATGTATTAGTCAAGTCACTTTCAAATGGATTTCTTGCAACAAATTTAGTTAATCCTGATGGTGGTGTGCAATGATTTGGTAGATTTGTAAAATAACCTGTATTCTTTGGATACATAGTTTTCTTTTATCTCACTAAAATGTTTTATTTCAACTATGCAAATGCCTATCTAATTTTTTGTAATAAATAAAGAGAATGATATGAAACATTAAATTTAACAAATTCCAAATACTGAACTACTTCAACGAATGACTAAATTCCACTGATACACGATATATTTTTGATATTAAATAATCTTTATATGATGGCAATCAAATAAGGAAAATTGATTAGTATAAATTATTATAGAAGATATATCGTTTTAAATAAACAATAAAAAACAATATATATATATATACGCGCGGCGAAATGAGATATATGAAATAATGGCTCAAATGAATAAAATGAATTCTGAGATGAATTAATCAATTTAAATTTATGATTGTTACGTTTTAGTTATGCGATTTATCTTTGATAAATATATTTTTTTTAATGTATTATTCCAATATTTAATAACAATGTATGTAATAATTCAAAAACCACCACAAGTCTGTTTACACGTTCGAATTCACCAATAAACGGAAGTATAGTAAATCAAGGTAGTCGTTGATAAGCGTATTACAAAGTAACTAGATTAAAATATAAGCTACTTTAAATTTCTAATTAGAAAATTTTATTTAAATATATATGGTGTTTTTATATAAATACAGAAAAATTAGCATCTTTATTTTTAATAGTATATAATAATATTATATAATAAAACATTTGAAATTCGAGCGCGCGCGCATACATCTTTCAATAACGTTATCTAAGAACGTAATTATACCGCGGTATTATTCGTTTATCACTAGAATTAATTTATCGTTTAACTGTATCATACAATTATATTTTTAATATTTTATTTATTATATAAATATTGTAATAATAAATTCATTATTCTTTTCATATATTGAGATATTACCAATTCATCGATTAATATTTTGATAACAATAAAAAAACATGTATCTATGTATACAATAAGATATAGATATATAGGGAAGATTTTCATTCGTACTATCTGTTTAAAAACGTACTTCTTAGTACGTATCATACGGATAAATATAATGACCGATTCTGCGCCAACCGCATGGTATATAGCGTAAATTGTGCATTGCATATTTTTAAATATAATGCATTAAATAAATAACTATTTTGATTGCAATGTAAAATTATCCTTCACAAAATAGATTAGCTGGCGAATGTGAGTACTGTACCCTTGTATTTCCTTACACTACGTCATGAACCATCGTTTTAGGTTACTAAAGTTGTTTGAGATGATATCTTTATTACGAATATTTCTCGTATCATGCATCAATTTTTACTAATCCCATACACTTTTATTCTTATTTATATAACTTATTTAATTATTAATTATTTATATTTAGTTTTGTTAATCGAGAAGAGAGATACAATATGTAAGATTATTGTTGTAATATACTTTATTTCACAAAACAGCAGTTTTATTATACACGTATTTGCTTTTGTAGGCTTTTAAAAAATATATATATGTATATATTTAAAAAAATAGATATTGCATGAAAATGCTATTAAACATATACTTCCTTTAACTAAATAGACCTTTAAACACTAAAGAATATGTTTATATATTTTTACATAGAACCTAAAATGGCAGAACAGCAGCAACCAACTCCTGATTTTAAGCGTATGTCATTGGATAAGATAATAGAAGCGATGACTGCTGATTTAGAAAATTCTAATGGCCATTATGTTCAGTTTGGAATATCACCACAACAAACTCCACCACATAATTGGAATGACTATCCTTCTGGTCAAACGAGACATTATATCGCTAATCAATCTCCACATCCTACTATCTCCACATCTCCACAAAGTGTGCAACCAATGAATCCGATTGCAACTTCTTTATATATGCAAGATATGCCAAGTTATGATAATACTACTACAGATCCTATGTATTTTCCACCTCAAACTGTAAACCATTTAGGTATTAATGAAAATAATGATTTAGTGGGAACTTATGATGTTGGCGGAGGAAATTACATAAATGTTATTTATGGAAATGCATCACAAATAATGGCAGAACAATGTCAACTTTCAAATATGACACCTTATAAAAATCAAGGTGCAATAGATAGAGAATATGGGCTTTTCAATGACCGACGAATGAATATACCATCTGATATGCCCAATCAAAATTTTAATGGGAAGCAACTAATTGATAATCTTGTCGGTAATTGGGTTCCAAATCAATCAGGAACTTATAGTCCTTTTGGTGGTTCTCCTAATGTAACACCAGTACCACAATCTAATACGGATGTTAGAGATCCTGAAGATTTACCAAGAAATATACCAGAGAGCCACTATAAAAGACCACGAATGGTAGCTGAAGTAAAGCCTATGCGTCCTTCTTATTCAGACGTATTAACTAAATCAGCACCGACTCCACCTTCACCATTAATTTTACCATCTACAAAACCTAAAGTTGAATCCATGACAAAAAAAGTTACCAATAAAAGTTCAAAAAATAAAATTAAATCTACATCGTTAAAGAGACAGAATTCATCAGGGAGTGATGATCATAATTCTCCAAAATTTCAAGTACCCAAAAAAGTATTAGAAAAAAATAATTCTAACCTTCCAAGACGATGGGTTTCCTTAGATAATCTAGGTTCACAAACTGAATCTCATGAAATAAATACTTTTAACAGATCAGATCAGTTTGAAAAGAAGAAAATTTTGAAAACTTCGAAGAAAAGTGACAAAAATGAGACGCTTAATAATTCGAAAGTTCAAAATAATAACTCTAAAACAACTGGCAATGTACCAAAACGTCCAATACAAATAAATAACAATTTAAATACAATCAATAATTCCAGTCAAACAATTTCACCCGAAAGAATTGAAAAGAATCAACAACAGAATAATAAAAATAATAAGGATGATAAAAAAGTGACTAAGGAAAGGAATTCTAAGCGCTTCCAAGCTGAAAAAGCACAGCAAATTAAAAAAAGAAATCGTAGAAAAGAATGCAGAGAATCTCCTATTAAGGATCTATGTAAAAACTTAAATAAATATGCAAGTCGTTGGAGTAAAATTGTATTAAAGATTTTTTATTGGTTATTACACTTAATATCAGATGTAGTTAGTATGAGTGCCAATCTTGTTATTCAACTGTAAGTATTAATAAAATGAATTTATGAATTTTAAATATATAATTCACGCAACCATATGTATATGTGTTATTATGTTTTCTATATTTTTCAGTGGTAAATGTGCTTGGTATCACTCTATACTCTATTTAAAATACTCATGGATTTATGTAGTAACAATGTTTTCTAAAATACGTATTCTTAATGCTTTGGGTAAGCAATTAGATCATTGGTTTGGAAATAGTAAATTTGCTTTCTGGCGTAAAATGAAGACCGAAAATGAAGAAAAAGAAGAAAATTCAAATTGGATACATGGTGGGCTTGAAGCTAACATTGCACTACCTAGCACTGGAGAAGAAGCTATGAAGAGATTATTAGCTTGTAAAGGCAAAGATCCTTACAGTATTCTTGGAGTTACACCAACATGTTCCGATGATGATATTAAAAAATATTATAAGCGCCAAGCATTTTTAGTGCACCCAGATAAAAATAATCAACCTGGAGCAGAAGAAGCATTCAAAATACTAGTTCATGCTTTTGATATAATTGGGGAACCAGTAATATTTTTTTTACTTGTAAACTAATAATTTTGCAATATTGATTAATTATTTAAAAACAATATTATTTTAGGAACGAAGACAAGCATTTGATCAAACAAGACAGGTTGAAGCTGCATGGGGTGAATTAAGTGACTTGTTATCTCAATTACATAGAAAAATGGAACAAGCAGCAAATACAATAAGGTGTACAAACTGTGGTTTGAGGCATAAACGGGTTCCAACTCAGCGTCCTTGCTATGCTGCCCGGTTTTGTGCACAATGTAAAATACGCCACAGTGCAAAAGAAGTCCGTATTTAATCTGTAATTATTTAATTCTTTTTTCGCACTTATGATATAATTGTTCCAATTTCATTAGGGTGATATATGGGCAGAGTCTCGTTTAATGGGATTTCTTTGGCATTATTATGCTTGTATGGAAGGTGCAGTGTACGATGTCACTGATTGGGCTGCTTGTCAAGCCGGTAATTTAAAACATCTTAGAGCAAACACACATAGCGTTCAATATAGGATTGTACTAGGTCAACGTCCACCACCACAGACTTCTAATAGTGGTAAAAAACGACAGCAAATGGATCCGAATACAAGGTATGAATATAAAACTAATAATTTAAAAAAATCAGTAAAGAAAATTTGATATATATACATATATATAGATACATATATATATATAAATAGCGATAATAAACTGATTTATTTAAATTAAATTATAAGTTTTTAATATTTTCTAATACAGTGAAGCAGATTTCGAAGAATTTTTAAATAATCTGTATAACCACAGCAAACCTGGTAATCCTAATACATCAGCAGAGCAAAGTTCTTTTAGAGGAGATTGCAGAAGACGAAAAACCAAACGCAAGAAGTAAGCAAATGTACACGAAGCTTTGAGATCTTATGGTATTTACTATATACGGTTAACACATTGAGCGCCACGCAAATTCTTAGGGAAATCTTAGTCAGGCCATGCGCTTTACTTTATATTAAAAAAAAAATAGTTGAAAGTGCCAGTTACCGATGAAAGATGCGTCTTAAACTTCAAGTTTTTCGTCAGTCAACGATACTTGATAATAAAATTCTTTATATAAGCTGTATCAGTCGCCGGTAATTGACGTTTTTTTTCAATATAAAATAACGCCCGTGACCTGACTGGGATTTCTTTAAGAATTTACGTGGCGCTCAACGTGTTAACGAATAACACATATTGGTTGGTTTGAAGTTCTTTTTTTTTTTTGAGTGATTGTCATCATAACGACAGGTACAGATCTTGAAAATATAGGTGATCTTCAGTGATTGATACTCTCAATTTAATATTCTAAAAATATATGACTCAATCAGAGTACATAATACATGCAAAAAAGAAAAAGAATTATGATTTTCATTAGAACAATACTCTTGAAAATAATAAATTTTTTAAATGTTTAGGCGCATCAAAGCAAAAAGTGTTAAAACAATACACGTAGAAAAATAATTTGTTTCTAAAAGCAAAAACAATGTGCATCCTGATTTTGTTGTACATATTTAAAATAGCTTGTACTTTTTTAATATAAAAGCCATGGTTTTTCTTTCTTTTTTTTTTTTAAATATATATATATAAACATTTGATCAAGACTTACAACATAATATAATAATATAACATATTATGCTTTCAGTACAATTATAAAAATAAATGATTTTATGTTTAAAGGTATAAAACTATTAAAACAATAATAATTTTATAATCTACATTACATACTTTTACGTTTAAAATAAACCAATATTGAAATTAATTACTAATATCAGGTATGATATACATCCATTTTTTCAAATCATCTATAATTGTGAGTTTAAATGAACAGTTAATTTTTTGAATACATTGAAAAGTTACTAATACTAGATTTCTTACGTAACACACAGGTATGTAATTAGTAGATTTTAAGAACAATTATTTGATTTAAATATGATATTTTACAATCAGTGCAAAATGATGAATTTTACTTTATTTGATTTACGTATAATATAATATTACTTTGTATATTATTCTATACATAGAAATATTTACTAAATACATGTTAAATGAACGTGATGTGGAATTAAAACATTCTTAAAAAGATGATTTCTTTATTTAAAAATACTCAGAATAAGTTTAATTAATATTAATAATAATCGTAATACCCTGTTCTTTAATATATTTAATATATGATCTACAAAATTTAATTCCCTCTTTCTCTCTGTATGTTATTAATGCAGATGTTTTTAAAAATTATAAAATTTTTATTGTATCGTTTTTTTTTTTGTTGTTGTTGTATAATGATTTTATAATATTGTGGTAACTATCATGAACCATGATCTCTATTATTTATATTTATTAAATTATCAGAATTTTGCAAATTAAAGACTGATTTTCTTCTTTTTTGTTAGGCATATGTTGTATTAGTATTTAGAAAATTTGACGGAACATCTGCAAAATTAAATTAGAGGTAAAGTTAACAATGCTGCAAATGTTACATATATATAGAATTAAATAAAAAAATATATGTACAAATTTTTTCAGCATTGTACAAAGTGCATTATAAGTTAAGGTGCTGAAATTAATATAAAAAGCAGAAATATTCAATAACCATATTATTTACAGAATATAATTGCAAAAACAAACAAAATATCAATGACTAATTATTAAATTATTCTTTTAATGATGGTGGTATTATATACTTTTTCAACACGTATATTTGTGTATGTATACAAGTCAATGGTAGATTCTTGCATTATAATTAATTTGAATCGCGAGAGTGCCAAAGTATGCCAGGATTTCATATTCATGTTCATTTAAAAAATTTTCATATATTAATTAAATTAAAGCTTCCTTATTTGTACTGCCATAAATTATAAAGTGCTTTGTATATGCAAATATATCAGCTATTAACATGTATATCATATAAATTTACAATAAAGCTATAAATTAGATGTATAAGCTATACTATATATTGTAACATATATCTTTTATTTTATAATATAGATTTTTATCTATACCTTACCTTTTTATAAACATAATAATCTAAAAGATAAAAATATTATTAACACAAAAGAGAATTAATTTTTGAAATTATATATAAAAGCTTTTCATTACTTTTTAATTGATGCAAGTTATTTATTAATGTTTTTGTGAAAATGCAAACAATAAAATATCAAAACTAGAAATATTTGCATACATTTTTTTCAGTTATAATAACAATTAAAATTAAAAAATATAAAAATATTTATTAAGCAATTTTTTATATTATATTACATAATTTCTTGCTAATTATAATATCAAATGAGAAAATTACTTTCTAATTCATTCGAGCATTTCTTCTAAAAACACAAGCGCATCTACATTATTAATTGCATTTTCAATATCTCGTTTTTGCAATGTTCTTTTTTTTGTTTGTACAGTATACTTATAGGCTTCCTTTGCAAGTGAGTCAATAAAAAGTTCCTGAAAGAAAAATTCAAGGATATACAGAAATAATTATACAATTTTTAAACAAAGATGATTATATATATGCAGGATACTCTGTGTCTGACGGTATAAGCGAACAAGAGTAATTCTGTATAAAAAACGAAGTCAAAAATGTTGAATAAAATTTGTTCATATAACCCTTTTTAATTTCGAGAAAGATAGGTTTGAAAATTTGTGACATTCACTGTTAGTTTGACTTAGTTTCTCATATAGCATATTCTATAAATGGAAATATGAAAAAGTGTTATTTTAAATTCAGTTAAAAACACTTTATAATCAAGTTATAAACAAATGAAATTGAAATAATATATATACATTTAATTATTTATTATAAGTTAGAAATATTAAATACTAATTAAGATTAAATCTTACAAATTAAAATGGAATGCAAAGAAGAGTTTGATAAGACAAAAAATGAATTTCTGACATTGTGTTTTGCATTCAATGGTAAAAGAAATTCATTCACAAAATTTGGGAACGAATGAAATGATTTTTCGACTAAAATGAAAATAGATTACAATAAAATTATAATCTAATGTAATTTAATTAACATTTTTCTTATTTCATTAAATATAAAAATAATAAATAATTAAACAAACATTACCTATTTATAAAATCAAATTAATATTAAATTAAAAATATAACATTTTAAATTAATATTATAATAATAAATAAAAACTATTAAGAGTAAACTATATAGGAAAAAATAATGAAATAATTATTACCGTTGATTTTGCTATTAAAAATACTGCCTCTTGGTTAACGAAATGTACTTCGGGATCCATTTTCATAATATTTTTTACTCTGCCTATAGGAATTCGTACTAATTTCTCTCTTTGTTCATCATCAACCTGAAGATTTGTATCAGTTTCCTCTATAGAATCTTGCAAGCTTTCAGGATCAACTATAATATTACTTTCGTCTGTTTCTTCTTCGTACGTCAAATCGTCACCTTCGGTATTCGCCATGTTTATAGAATTCATTTTGCACAATATCACAAAGTAATAACTTTAAATACCCTATGTGTATTATGTATGTATCATACCATATCAAATTTTTAAATTGAAAACAATCAAAAATATAGACTATAATATCTTATTAAATAAACGTAATATGTATTATAAAAATGTATTAAAAACTTTTTATTTGATTTGATGTCATATCCGAATCGTAATTAATTTATGATGCATAAATATATGTGATACTTTTCTATGAGATAGTTAATATTTCGAATTTACCGCATATGTGTGTATTGTCAGTACGAAATGAGGTTAGTTATGTTTGGTAAACTTAGTTACGTTTGTATATCTTCTAGAGGGCACTGTTAACAATATTTTTAAAGTGTATGTATATATATAATTTTGAAGCGGTTTAACCACATAGTGGCAAACCGTTAATCTTCTTCGATAAAAATTTCGTAAATTTAAAAAAATGTGTGACCTTATAGACTTAGATAATTCTGCAGGTGATTCATCAAATACAAAATTAGCATCGCCGTTAATACCTGTACCTTCAAATATAAAACGAAAAAATATAAATATTTGTGATAATAAATTTAATAATAATACATTAATAACAGAAAAACGTGAAAGTTTAGGTGATAATCCTTTTGATGCGATATTAGACGAAGCAATAGAAAATGTTCGTAAAAAAGAAGATCCATTTGAAACAGTATATGAAAAAGCTTTCATGGGAAATAATATCACTGCACAAGAAGAAAAAAACATAAATATTACAGATGATCTTAAAGCTACATACACACAATTGTGTAAGTTAAAAGAAAATAAAACTTCAAATGAAATCTTATCAATTCCTGATATTGTGGTTTCTACAGCTGAGATAAATTCATTGGATTTATCGATATTAAATCACTCAGCAATGAACGATACGTTATATGAAAGTAAATGTAATGAAGAAGAAGCCGAGATTCCGTATGTGTTTCAACATAAAATACCATTAAATAGAAAGACAGTACAATCACGTTCATATTCTCAAGGTGATATAATATCTGAATGTAAGCAGTTAATAAAACCTAGGTCTAACTCTACAACAGAATCATTAACAACTGATAAAATAAATACAAATGATTCAGATATCAAGTCTTTTTCAGTATTAAATAAAGGTTTTATAGAAGATCAATACAATGACATTTCTGTATTTTCTACTATATCAAACATTTCTAGCATTACAAGGAATTCTGGTTCCATAACATATAATTCTGCCTCAATATCTAATAATACTATGAATGTTGCCTTTTTAAATAAAAGTTGTTCATCAATAGCTTGCGATACTAAATTAAATGAAAGGATAAATAATACGATGAGTACAGTACCTACGATATCATTACCTATTTCACCAGCTCAAAAACCAATCAAAACAACAGTTGATGTTAATAATAAGTTACTCGATGATAAATTGCTCGATATTGATACTTGTATCCCTGAAATTACGTCTTCTAAATTATCTAATAATAGTTCGGATAGTTCTTCTGATTCTATATTTGTTGTAAGTAGATATAAATCTAATTTTTATATTAATTTGATTACTTTAAGATATTTTGTTTTCTTATGTATTAGATTGTTTAAATCTATTTTTTTCAGAAAAAAAATAATATCAATACATCAATAATTAATGAAGCTATAGCTCTTGCAAGAACGTTTGAAGAATATGCAGGAAAATCTTCAGAATGTACGTATACTTTCCATTATTTACTATCTTTCTGTTGTATAAAATTTTAATAATTTATTATTACTATCTAAATATATATTTTTATATATTTTTCTAACAGCAAATATAGACGAATTGATTATAAATGATCCTATGTGGACTTCAGAATTGTTGCCAGCATATGAAGATGACGTTGTAGATAACTTAATTGAGGTACCAGTTTTAAATGCTACCAATAGGGAACAAAAGAATGGTGACATGTTATCTTGTAGTAGTAATACAAATGATATAACAAAATCACAGAATAACGTTAAAAAAGAAATGGACATAGCTCCTTTGAATCAAATTACTGTTAATAAAACAGCTGCATCAACATTGTTAGTAGACCTCAAAAAAATAGTCAAAACAGAAAATAATTCCGAGGCTAACAGGCTACTTGAAAATTTAGAACAAGTTTTAGGAATTCAATCCAATAACGAAATTGAATTATTTTCTACATGTGATCAAACAACAAATGATTCAAGAGCAATACAAATTACAAAAGAAGAAAATAAACATGATAGTAAGAATCATGTGGATGATTTAAAAAACAATGAAATAGAAGTTGAGGAATCACATTATGATAATAAAATTAACGGATGTGAAGCATTACATGACAATAACAAATCATTAATAAAGGAAAATGAAGTATCATCAATGAATCCACGAATAGAAATTTCTCCAGAAAAAGAAAGTTCTATTGAGGTAGAAAAAAAAGAAATTAATGTTGATATTAATAATTTTACTCAGAAAAATGTGACAATAAATAAAGAAGAAAATAATAAAACAGAAAATAATGAAAAAGTTGCAGTAGAGTTGCTTATTAATTTAGGTAAAGTATTAAGTGGACAGTCTAACGAATCTGCCACATTGAACTTGTTAAAGAATTTGGGAGAAGTATTAAATTTAGTTTCAAAAAATGACCAAGAAAAAATTAATGTGATATCTAATAATACTGAAAAAATACCAATTAAAGATACATCTGGAAATAAAGTAAAATCTTCAACATCATTAAAAGTAAAACAAAGACGAAGTTTGGATGTAATGTCAAAGGTAAGAATTTTAATCGTTTATATTTATGAAAATAAATTATTTTAATTTCAATATTTAATATTATAGGAGAAACCAACTTATCAGAAATCATTCAGAAGAAGTACATCTACACATAACACATCTCCTCCTAAAAAACTGCAAAAGTCATTTGTATTTAAAGACAATAACAAATCTCAATTAAGTAAGACTAGAAAGCGTTTTTCTAGTGATCCAGGATCAATTAATTTGGATTCATCTAAAACAGAAATTGCTGCTAGCATAAGAGATCATCCAATTATTAGTAAATATTTGCATTTACAATTAGTGTGTATTCTTATATATATATATATATAATTGCATTATATTATATTAATATTATTCGGTAGTATTAGAATGGTCCTTTTAAAGCAAGTCACACATAATAAAATGTGATTTCCTTACATCAAAGTTTTTTTATACATGTATATATAAAGCTTTAAATAAGATTTAAAACTAAATACGTTTAATTTGTTTCTAGGTATAGGCAAAATTAATACAAACGAAAATAATCCGAAAGAGAAACAGCCCATTAAATTAGTTGGTAAAAATCAATTAAAACACAAATCAAAATCTGAAATTGTGAATAAAAAAGGTCCTATGAAGGCAATTATTCCAATTGGAAATATGCAAAGAAAAGGTATACGTATAGAAAAAAATAATAAACATATAAAACATATAAACATATGAAGTTTCTGATTTGAATCTATATACTAGGTACTATTACTCCTACGAAATCACCTAAGAATGTACAACCTTGCATTAAAATATTCAGTAGTACACCAAATTCGATCGAAAGTGGTATTGAATTAAAAAGATCACCTAAAGTAAAACCAATGGCATCATCAACACCAGACTTTCTAAAACGTAAATCTGTTGTACAAGTGCCAACGCTTCAACGTCGTGACAGGCTTAATGCTTCATGCGATATATCACCAATAAACGTACAAGAGGAAGTAACTACCGAGAAATGTAAAGTATATCTTAGTCCAAGAAGGTAAGAAAATATATAGTACATTTTTTTATTTATGAATAAAAACAAAATTATAAGAAAATATAATTAAGTACAATTTATTTTTTATATACACAGAGCGAATAAAGGCCCATCGCCAAAAAAAAGCACGCCTAAAAGTCAAAAAAGAGAATCTAGTATTCCAAAATATTCCATGTCTCCTGGTGCTCATGCAAGAACATCATCGCAGGATATTAATAAATCCCAAGAAATTTCAATGTCGTCACAAAATTTATCCAGAAAAGAAGAAGACATGTTTAAAAAATCACCCATGATTAGGAAAAGAATCGAAAAATCAGAACGAAAAAGTCCTTTAACAGATAATAATACAAATATTACAAAAGGAAAACCATTTAATTTAAGCTCTAAGTTTCGAGGGAATAATAATGAAAATATTGAAAGTGAAAAGGAAAATACATTTGTATAATATAAACAGTGAAATCATCGTATAAACAATTATAATAGTATTTTACAGATTTTTTTGTGTTCAATCTATTTAACCATAGACAAGATAAAATTTTTGTATTCATTTTATAATAAAGATATTTAAACAAATAAGAAAATCATCCATTTACGATGCCCTTTGGTAAGATACACAGTTAAGAATATGCACATTTCGATATTTAATTTTTTAGATGATCAAAGTACAAAGTTTTATTACGCAAACAATAGATAATGTCATAATGTCTATTTATTTATAAAATAAAAAATGAAAATTGTTTATTTTAATAAGAAAAGAGAAAATTTAGTAAAGTATTTAAGTTGAAATGGTATTTTGTTCGTAGTTGACTCCGTACCTAGAGTATGAGTGAAAGTTGAAAATAGTAGGGGTAAAAAGAGCGAGGAGTGGGGAGGAGCTCGATCGGTCGACGAAGCAACGTCTTTCCCCTCCTATGACTATCAGAAGCACGCTCCGCGTGTACCGTAGAGCGTCGAGAGCGGCTCCGCTCATCTATATTCGCGTTAAAGCCGCACCCGGCGTGGCGTGGTGCGGTGCGCTACGTTTGCTCACATTAGGACGGTGCAGTACAATGTGTTGCGATGTGATACGATGCAGTAGAAGAGAGTGCACTTAAATCTTATTAAGATATGTTATGTCCTTAATCGATAGTACAATTATAAACGTGTTAATAATACGAGCATAAGATTGTTAGCGCTGGATTGGCGCTAGATCGACTCTGGATCGGCGCGGTACCGAGAGAGTGTATCGAACACATTGAAGTGTGTTGCGATTCGTACAGAGGAGTCGATCGGTCGATCTTTCTCGGGCGGTTCGTACGAGGTGCGAGAAGAAAAAGAGCGCATCTCGCGTTTACGTCTTGCTTCTTTCGTCGTTTTCGTCATCATCATAGTCATCATCATAGTCATCGTCACCCTCATCGTCTCCGCCACCGGCACTGTACCCTCACCGTACCGTCGTATTGTGTGCGGATAAACGCGCGCGCGCGCACATCTTCGCTTAGCTGCACCTTGCTTGCATGAGACAAAAAGAGGATCGACGACACGTCGAATAATAGCAATCAAAAGTACAAACGCAATAAAAGAAAGAAGGAAAGAAGAAAGAAGTAAAATTCGTGCGTATTGCAAGACAAGAAAGATTTGAGGTAATTTTAGTTTGTCACCAATCATACTACAGTAATAAGGAGCGCGTTACAAAAAAATTCCGGGTTACGCGCTCTTTATCGACGTTCTCCAGACTTTCGAGCACTCGCTCCTGATTTTAAAGCACCTAACGTATGCTAAAACGTGTATTGCTCGAGCACCGGCAATATTACGTGTCGCGTGGTACATAAAGATGCATACGCATCTACATATATAATATGCATATATACGTATTTATATAGAGAGAAATATATATATATATATGTATATATATATATATATATATATATATATATATACACGATATATTCGTCGTGCAGCACATGTATGCGCGCTCTTACACAGGAATATTCGAGTACGTAAATGCACGTTTATGTAGATTTGTCGTAGAACCCGAACGCGCTGCGACGTTCGTAGGTGTGCGGCGCGCGCTCTGCTTGCGCGTCGTTTGCAATTACAGCCGTGATCCGCTAGCATTCGTTCTTGCGACGCGAACGAAGTAGGACCTTTTCTCGTTCGCTCCTTCTTTCGTCCTTCTCTCATTTCTTCGTTCATTCTTTCGTCTGCCTATTAGTTCAATTTTCTAGTTGTTCCATAAACGTATTATCAGTTGCAAAATAAACAATTTATCGACAGTGTGAAAATAAAAGACAGAAAGAGAAAAAAAAGAGAAGAGAGAGAGAGAGAGAGAGCCAGAGAAAGTAGAAGAGAGAACACGAAGAACGAGGCGCGATCGTAGCGCGCCGATGATACGAGACGGTGCGTGGACCGACGACGTGCGGACAGAAACGACCGCGCGCAACCGAGATTCTTTCTTTGCTCACGTCGCTCCCGGCGTAACTTACCGAGGACACTATATACATATGCGCGAGCATAAAACGCATGTAGTACTGCCGAAAGATCGAGTGGAAACACCGTCCCTTTAGCGAGAGCGCAACCCTCCTTCGTGAAACTTTTAACACCGAGGAACGAAAGAAGAAAAAAAGGAAGAAAGAGAAAGAGAGAGAGAGAGAGAGAGAACGAACAAAAGTAGATAGGAATACAAGAAGAAAATACAGAGAAAGCTGAGATAATAAGAAAATAAATAAAGGATAATATTTGGGCTCCTTTCGTCGTATCGTCTTTGGTAACGTGTAAGTTCCGTTGCAATTAGATTGCTACACATACCGCGATAAGGAAGAAAAATAAAAAAATTTCATTTCAAAGTGCCCTTCAACGAGCGATTCAACGTAATAACGAGCTAACTTTTGTAGAGAATCATCGGCTATCGGTCGTATCCGTCTTTCTCCCTCCCTTCGTACGGCGCGCGGCAGTAGTCTCCGGCTTGCGCGCGCGGGCTACAGACGAAGGGCGCGAGCGGTGCTTGCGATTCGAAAACTCCTTCGAGGATTGACCATGCGTACGAGCGAACGACGAGCGATCGCTTGCGAGATCCCGTAGGAGTAGGAGAAAGAGGAAGAGTAGGAGACGGAAGAAGAGGAGAAGGAGGACGACAACGAAGAGGTACATGACAACGTCGGAAAGGGAGAAGGGGTAGAGAACGACGAAGTGAGAAGAAGCAAAGTGCCGCTTCGCGCGTTCGAACGTCTTACGAACTTGTTTCGTTATTTAACTTTATAGATCGTGACAATTGATATCATTTTTCGGTTAAATCGAATTCGAGTTATCGATAAATTGTTTATTCTAGATCGATACCTTGTTTTTACTTTTACCTTCGATTCTTCAACGAGCCGCAACACTCGTTCAAGTAGTTCACTGCGTTGGACTACTTTTCTCTTGTTTTTTTCATTATTGCGGCATGTCCACTGTGTGTTCTATGTTGCGCGCGTCGAACTAATTTATTAGTAACTACTACGTGAGGTAGATCTCAAGTTCAAGAAGAGATATTGCTCGCTCGCTGTGACATTTCTCAACGACCTTGTTTCTTGTACTTGACTCATGCGATTGTAAAGTGATATATATAACAAAGAAAATGGAAAAGACTTTGACTTTATTATCCGAGCGAAGATGATCCGATGTAAGCGCGCGTATCCGCACGAATGAAAGACAGTAAAAACGAAGATAGATAGAGAGAGAGAGAGAGAGAGAGAGAGAGAGAGAGAGAGAGAGAGAGAGAGAAAGCGATAGAGGGGGGAAAGGTCGAAGCGCGAACACGCTTGCGGCTTTACAAAAAACGCGCGTAGAGCACTAAATCTAAAGATAATACATAGAATTTTGAAGTGATTGAACAATTTTTCATAACCCTTTGATATCTTTAAGAAAGATATTAAAAAATAACTTTGAAAGGGGTGTACGAGAAAGAGATGTGCATGTTTTCTCACTTCGAAAAGATAAACGTATACAGTGAAGAATAAGATAAAGTAAGTGAGGAAGGAAAAGTAAAGTAGGAAAAAAAAGGAAGAGATAAAGAGAGGGATAAGGGTGGTAACAGCGTGACAAGGAAGGATGCAACAATACCGGATGGAAACGCAAATTCGTCTTGAGGCGCAGATCCTGGAGGCGATAGATCAGTTGCGCCGACGTAAGGCGCGTCCCGATGCCGATCGTATTTGTAACTACTTGCTTCGAAAATTTGCGGTTGATGTGCGAGATACGATCACCGATCTTCATCGATTAATCGAAGCGGAGAAGGTTATACAAGTCGATTATAAGGGTAACACAAGTTATAGAAACGCATCCAAATGGACTCGTTTACAACTTTACAAGAATCGACCGGAAGGCTTCGTAAAAGATAAATTAAATTCGGCAATGGTGGCTGGCGCGGTTGCCGAGCTCGTTGTTGAGGAACCGGATTACCTCGATCAAGGTGTTCCAGCCTCTAAATTAGTCGATCAATTGCTCGATGGTATTTCGAATCCTACCTCTAGACGTATGACCAAGGATTTTCTCGGGAAAGAAGTTGCGAGCGGTAATTTAACTCGTCTCTCTAACGGTAATTATTCGCTGGTGGCGACATCCGACATGACGACCGCAACCGAATCGACGCATCGTGAAACCTTTACCCTTGAAAATATCGAAAATGGTAATATCAGGCGTAAAGACTCACAAACAGTTTCTTCAACAACTAATGGCCCTTATGATTTCGATGAATCGGAGAATTTGACTATCGCCGATTCAGCTTCAAATACACCAAGATCCTCGTGTCAAGCGAGTCCGAAACCAGAAGTGTCCATCAAGAAAGAAGAATGTTTTGATATTCTTCTAACTAAAAATCAAGACCGTATCGAAGATACATCTCTCGATGGCGATCGAACGAAGGAATCCGAGGATCCGTTAGTTAATATCGAGGAGAGAAAGGATAACGTCAAGAGTACAGACAATCAGTGTCCTAACCTCAAAAGATCTTCCAAATCGGAACGTAAGCAAAGATTACTTGTGAGGACAGATGATCCTATGGACATAGAAATTAAATTTGAAGAGTTTCGCAAAGACAATAAGGAGGAATCTTCCGCTCAGAAAGATAAAAGGGAAGATAACGAACATTTTAGCGAAGATCGTGACGACGAAGAGGCTGGAAGAAGTTCTACGAATTGCTCTCCTACACCGTCTAACATCAATGTGGGTGGTTTTCGTAGTGCTCGTAGGAAGGTTCGTTTCTGATGTTTCATTTTACGTGACTACACGAAATTGTTATTAACTTAACATTATTCTATCTTTTCTTTTTCTTCTTTGATTTCAACTCAAGACCATTTTCCAGAGAGCGAAAAAAGTATTTGATCCATCCGACAACAACCTTGTAAGACGGAAACGTGGTAGGCAATCTACTACACAAAATAAAGTTGCTACGGTTCAGGAACCTCCAGAAATTGTTAAACCGCCAATTAAAGATGGGCCTTGTAGACAGTGTAGCCTTTGCGCCAAAGAAAAGCAAGAAGCATTAGTTGCGTGTCGAGATTGTACAGTAAGAGGTAAGTTTTACGAATGTTTACTTTTCTCTACAGTCAGTTTGAAATAATATTAATACTTATTAATGTCTTTATGTTTTGATTGTTTTAGCTCATCCAAGTTGTATTTACAGTCCGGAAGAAATAATTCACAAGGCTGGTAGTAATTGGCAGTGTGAACGTTGTAAGACTTGTACTATTTGTTGTGAAACTTCGGATGCTGTAAGTTATAATATTATTTTTGTAATAATAGTTGAAAACCAATATCATATATTAATTACTTTTTTGTATTATATAGGGACCGTTAATTACATGTTATTCTTGTGACGAAGCATATCATCATTACTGCCATTCACCACGTGTTATAAATCCAAAATCAAATTTAAGATGGCAGTGTAACAATTGTGTTCAAAAGCAACAGAAAACAAACAATAATCAAACTGTCAGTCTTATCATTGCGCGACCTGATACTCCGTCAAGTGTGACTGTACTAGCACCACCTATTTTAAGCCCACAAGTTTCACCTGCTCGCCCATCTTCCGATCAAATGGAAGACGATGCTACTAAAGATGGCATCGATCCTAATATTCCGGATGCTTCGGATTGGACATCTGAACAAGTTTATCAATACTTTGCTAGATTATTTCCAAAAGAAGCAGAAGTATTTAGGCAACAAGTGAGTAATACAAATATATTTCTCATACCTAGTATTAATTGTTAAGTAATTTATAATTTTCATATATTTGTTATATGTTTACAGGACATAGATGGTCATTCTCTTTTATTGATGAAGAGATCAGATGTGTTAAAGGGACTTAATTTGCTGTTGGGTCCAGCATTGAAAATTTATAGACACGTTTTAAAACTTCAAGTTCGTCGAGACGATCCCAAACTTTATTGGTTGTAAAATTATTTTAATATTTTGAGGAAAATATATACATAGACAGTGGAAAATGTTAATGCTCACTATATATTGTACATATAGATTTTCTTTATACATTCTTCGTATATATACTTTTTCTAATTCTAGATATTTTTTCATATTATGCAGATTGTGATATTCTGAATTAGGAAAGTGATAACGTCTGAACAATTTGAAGATATATAATACAGATAGTATTATAATGTATAAGTAGAACGGAGAAACAGTAGTCTTTATCACATTATACTATATCTGTTTAAAAAGATGTTTATTTTCAAGAATCGTATGTTATAAAACTTCTGTTATACATATTATAGCAAAGGTTTTAAAGACTTTATTCTGTTTAAATAATATAGTGAGTCTGTATAGACAACCAATCTTATAAGTAAATTGTCATATAATAATATTGCATAGTTTTTATTTTTGTTACAATACGTACAATAAGGTAATTAAGAATGATAAATATTTAGTATTTTCTCGATATTTCTTAAATATCGATATATCTTCCTGTATAATAAATGTTTTGATATTTACATTGCATGTTTTGTTTTACTAATAGGATAAAACTTTATTTTTTCCTTTGCTTAGAAATTATTTTATAGGACTAGATTAGTTTTTCATTCTTTACGTTTATATATTACTAATTTTATGATGTAAAAATCTGCGAAAACCTTTTTTAAAGACAGAAATTTGTTCTTTTAAATATAAACAAAAATTGGTAATACCTAATTATTGTATTATAAAAGTAGTAATGATAATGCCAAAAAGAAAAATGATAATTTTTTATAAAATATAATAAATATATTATGCCGTTTAATTAATTATTTAACATTTGGTAGACTACATCAAATTATATGAATATTTAATTTTAACATCATTCTTTTATACTGATAAAATATATATAATCTTAACTACTACTTTATTTTCATCGTAATTTTTCTCAGGTTTAAATCATAACACAACATTTATATTAATTTATATTAATAAATGCTGTGTTATGATGTATTTAAAATAATTTTTATATTTATCAGCATGTGATACCATGTAATAGGGTCAGTTTTACAAGATTAAAAAGATTTATTATATTAACCATTAATTTTTCCTAAATAGTTTATTTTAAAACACATAAATCTCATGTCACAAAAATGTTTAAAGTCAACAGCTAATATCAACAAATTATCCATCTAGGACGACAATAATATCTCAAAAATGATAAATCTAGATTATTTCTATCAATGCATCCATAGATATAATTATTTATTTTTTATTACTATAGTGATAAAAAATAAAGGAATAGTTCGGTTTTATAAAATCTGTGGTTTATGGAAAATTGTTATATTGGTTATTATAGAGTTGTTTGCCTTATAAATTATATTAAAAATAATATTATATGTGCCTAAAATGGCTTTTGATATTGATGTAAAAAAGTTGTACAGTCTTTAAACCAGTCTATCACGTGCATACATTAACCATCTTCACTATTTTGATTGAATGTAAAAAGCATCAGTATCACATTGCATAATAATTTTTTCAAGACAACAAAAATATTACAATAAACATTATAACTACTTATGTAAGAAAATTTATGACACATGAAATACTTCAAATATATATACTGTTCTATATTATTGCACTCAATTAATACTTTCTTGGAATAATCAATTTTGAATTGATTATTTATTAAAGTTGAAAGCATGAAACATTAATGACTTAAATTGTTGTTTATTTTTACATATATATTATATCAAAACTCGTATTTAACTTATGAATTTTTCAATAGCATCTTATGAGAAGCAAACACTTCAACAGTGCCAGAATGTAAAGGGCAACTGTGATGTAAATATATTATTTTATATATATTCAAACTTTATTGAATATATTTAATTTTTTTTTAATAATTAATTAATTATATTTAATAATCTCCAAAATGACTTAATACTTCAATAACAAGGTACTTAAACTTTTAAGTTAACATCCAATTCATTATTAACATCAGTATACTTAGGAGGAGGCATTTTATGCAATGGTTCTTCATCTGGTATATACAATGTGATTTTATCTGATGCTTCGGACTTATCAATAAGAAATTCTTTTATGTTATCATGTGTTCTTTCTGAAGATACACTATATAAATACATACATACTGCAAGTAATGCTACTGCAGCTGCTGCAGCAGAAGCAAAACGTGCTGAAGGCATACCAGCATGTCTTGATGCACACTGAAACCAATCGGATCCGGGTATCCATGATGAAGTTGGTTCAGATTCTCCTGAATAATCTGATGGGGTCTCATAGTCCATGGTCTACATTTTTATAGTATTTAGTTTACTTATTAAAAGACATCTTATTTCAAAGAAAATTATTTGCTTATAATAAATTAATATACTTTTGTATAATATAAAAATATATCTTTACAAGTTAGTATTAATTAATAACACAAATTCTAAATATTGTAATAAAAACCTAATACTTACCCCACCATCCATTGGAACAGTTTTAATATAAGTCTGAGGTAATTTAAACCCATTGGAATCCCACCATCTTGGAAGAAGCTCTTTTCGAATACCAGGGTCTGTTAGAATATCATTTTCTGGTATATCAGGATACATTAGTAAGGTGTTAGAATCTACATATTCCTCTACATAGATAGCAATAGAAAAGAGTGATAACAAGTCGGAGACACGTTGTTTGGCCATAAAGTCACAACCAGTGCTGCAAGCATAGCGATCTTGTGGTTCTGCATACGCTTCTGTGCATGCTATTGAAAGAAAGTTTAGTTACTTTTTTTATATAACTAAAACAAAAAGATAAAAGCAAGCATTGTTTTCTACATTATTTAAGCCTAATATTTAATTCAAAATATCAAGATTTAAGAGCTATAAGAATATTTCTAAACATTATTGCCATGCATATTCTGTTAGCTATAGTATTGTTCTTAATGCTCAAAATTTAAAGCAATTTTTTTGGTTATGTGTAATATTATTGTTAAAATTAAAATAGAGTTAAATTTACAAGCTTCACAGGCATCCCTAGTGCCATTTAAACCATTGGGCTCCAATCCATAATTCAAGTCCACTAAATTGAAAAATCTACAACCTCGTTGACAACAAGACTTAATGTACTTGCTCTGAAAGGAAGAATGAAAGTAATAATATCCATATATAATATAAAAATATACTTTTTATAAGTTATGCTATAGAAGTAAATTCATGGTTCTTAAAATCAATACAATATTCATACGTTTGTGAAAGAAAGTGGTGTTTTTTCACATAAAGTGACACAAGGATCTTCGCGATTTAAAAAATTATAACATATGTCACAATATGCAATATTTATCAGAAATAACACTAGTAGGACAGCACTTTCTTTATACTTTTTCATTTCAATTCGATGTGTATTAATAATCTGTTTTTAGGAATCAAATTTTCTTATTACGGAGGTCAAACTCATATAGAAAACCACACTGGAAATCTGAAGGTTATATCCCTTGCTGTCGATAGGTGCGCTAATATCGTAACCAATCACGTTTTTCTAAAAAAATAAACTATATATAATATAATACTATTTGCTATTATATATACATAAAATTTTCACAATTTTAATTATATTGTAAAATTATATATTCTTAAAATGGACGTAATCATTAATCAATATATTAAGTATGAAATTGATTTGTAAATAGGTACTTTACTGTAGAATTGCAATATTAATTCCTATGATTTAAGCTTAAATGACTTATACGAATAAGTCTTAAGATATACATTTATGGACTTTTTTTTTGGTATTATAAATATAAATACTTATAGTACCAAATAATATATATTTAATATTTATCTAATGGATATTTATGAATTATAATTCTCATTTCAAATGTTTAACAACATATATCATTGATATTGCATGTTTAAATGAAGTTCTTTCATAGAATTAATATATATTTTGATTTATATATTATTCATTTTACAGTATTATTATTATAACAATACTTTTGATTATAGGTATAAATAAAATTTATATTACGATAAAACTACAGTAAAATTTATATTTTACGAATTGCAATATAACTGTTACATCTCATTTGAATTACGTATTATCCGCCATTGGATTCGTTCATAACGTCGGCATTCTTGAACGTCTAGTGTATTGGTACGAGATAGGTTCTTCATTAGTCTCCATTTTTGTATAAAAAAAAAAATTTCTAAGCGTATATTAGTATCTCAATATACAAGAAATTGTTTATTTGTTGTGTTTACAATTAATTGAAGGTCGAAAAGATGTTTGGACCAGGAGCTGCTCCAATTGTAGTATTAAGTAAGTTGAAAATCGTGAACATGATTATCATTTGTTTGGTATATTAAAGCGAAAATTTTAATTAACGAAATGTCGTGTGCTTTGATAATTGCAGGCCAGAATACAAAACGAGAGACCGGAAGAAAAGTACAGAAAGAAAATATTCAAGCTGGAAAAGTAAGTAATTTAAAATCAAGCGATCATGAAACTCCTTTTATGGGCTTTCACGATCTTGGCACACCCACGTGCATTTATGTTATGAATAGTCTAAGAATATTTTTAAAATTGTTAAACGCTATTAATTAAATGTATTGAAATTTTGATTTTTGCCCTATACGTATTTAATTACGTTACAAATATATATGTATACATTATGGCTGTATTAACTGCATCTAATGTGTGTGTATTTTATATATATATATATATATATATATATGTCAAAAAATGTCCATACAAAGTATTTATACAAAGACATATTATATATTTGTTGAATATAAACTTTTATTTTGTTACTATATTATTAAAACTGTAAAGATTGATTTCTTTTTGTGAAGGCAATCGCAGATGTTATTAGAACATGTCTAGGACCGCAAGCAATGTTAAAAATGCTAATGGATCCTATGGGTGGTATTGTCATGACAAACGATGGGAATGCTATTCTTCGTGAAATAACAGTACAGCATCCAGCTGGAAAATCAATGATTGAAATAGCAAGAACTCAAGATGAAGAAGTTGGAGATGGTACAACTTCGGTAATTGTACTAGCAGGAGAAATTTTGGCTACCGCAGAGCCATTTTTAGAACAAAGTATGCATCCGACTGTTATTATACGAGCCTATCGACAAGCTTTGGAAGATATGGTGACGATTTTAAATGAAAAAGTCAGTATAGATCTGGATTGTAATGATCGTGATAAATTGATCCAAGTGATAAATTCATGCGTTAGTACGAAGTTTATAGGACGTTGGAGTAAACTAGCTTGTCAGATTGCATTGGATGCAGTTAGTACTGTAATGTTGGAAGAAAATGGCCGTAAAGAGATAGATATCAAACATTATGCTAAAGTTGAAAAAATTCCTGGAGGATCTATCGAAGATAGCACTGTTCTTAAAGGTGTTATGTTTAATAAGGATGTAACTCATCCAAAAATGAGACGTTCTATAAAAAATCCTAGGATTGTTCTATTAGACTGTCCTTTGGAATATAAGAAGGGAGAATCCCAAACTAATATTGAGATATTAAAAGATACTGATTTTACACGAATTTTGGAATTGGAGGAAGAACATGTAAAAAAACTTTGTGAAGATATCATTTTAGTTAAACCAGATTTAGTAATTACTGAAAAAGGTATTTCAGATCTGGCTCAACACTATCTTGTAAAAGCTGGAATTTCTGCTATTCGTCGTTTGAGAAAAAGTGATATTAATAGAGTAGCAAGAGCTTGTGGTGCAACAGTAGTAAATCGTACAGAAGATCTTAGAGAGGAAGATGTTGGAACAAAAGCTGGACTTATGGAAATCAAAAAATTAGGGGATGAATACTTCTGCTTTATTACAGATTGTGAAGATCCTAAAGCTTGTACGATTATTTTGCGAGGTGCTAGTAAAGATGTACTAAATGAAACTGAAAGAAACTTGCAAGATGCTTTACATGTTGCACGTAACCTTCTTTTAGACCCTAAACTAGTACCAGGTATGTAAAATCTATTAAATTTAACAACATAAGAATAAAATATAATAATTTCAGTAGTATTATGATATTATAATTATATTTATTACAGGTGGTGGTGCGGTTGAAATGGCCGTTTCTCGACTTTTGTCTGAGAAAGCAGCAGGTCTTGCTGGTGTTGAACAATGGCCATATAAAGCAATTGCACATGCTTTGGAAATAATACCTAGAACATTAGCTCAGAATTGTGGAGCTAATACTATTAGAACATTGACGGCACTTCGTGCGAAACATACTACAGAAGGAACAACTTGGGGTATTGATGGAGAGACAGGACAATTGGTTGACATGAAGGAACGTGGAATTTGGGAGCCACTTACAGTTAAATTACAAGTATATAAAACTGCTATAGAAACAGCTATTTTGCTCCTCAGAATTGACGATATTGTCTCAGGAAGTAAAAAGAAGAAGTCTGATAATGAAGCAACACCCCCAAGTCAAGTGACCGAAGAATCCATGAAAGATTAAATTATATAGCTTTTTTTTTTTTTAACAAGTTTAATTGCTTGCATCTAAGTTTAAGAAATAATTATTTCAAGTAGTAATTGTGTCATTGCAATTTCATTTGCATATTTGCACAAGAGCTGCTTCACCTTTATGTATACATTTTCGTACAATAAAAATAAATCTTAATAAATTATATATACATAATACTTTTATATATTCCGTAAGTATGAATGACATCAGTGTTAACATTAAAAAGAAACAAAATCTAATAATACAATTTGTATGAGACAGCTATCCAGCCTTTGAAGTTTTATGCATGTACTTAATTTTTGCAAAGATAGTTTGTTAATATTTGATATACATGAACTCATATCGTAATTCTTATCATGTGTAAATAATGTTATCTGATAAACTGCATTATCATAATGATATAATTATCGTAGCCTTACTTTTATAATTTTCTTGTTTCTCGCATATTCTAGCAATTTATTATTGTCTCGTACATTGTCACTAGCGATTATTTGAGTATACAGTTTAGAGTTACTTTAAACTAATGTGTTCTAAAGTGTATATGGACATCGAGCCTATCTCTTTATATGTTTATATAAAGAATAGATTGCCATAGTTTAAATTTTTATTTTACGATTATTACATTTTTTCAGGACACCTTTATGCAGATATTTAATAATTTAATAACATTGAATTAAAAAACATCTTTTACAATATTTTAACAGGATCTTGTTTCCCAATTTTTAAAACGACATACTGCGCTATTAAGGATATTTAAATTTTCTGTAAATTATATATTTATTATATATTCTGTTTTTATATATCACATATAATTTAAATTGAAAAAATAAATAATACTAATCGCATTTAAGACATTTAACAATAATTTTAAATATATTGCTATCTCAACGCCGCTCTGGTAGTGATAGTATAATTATTGCTTCTAACGTATTATGCATATTGTGTGCAAATTCCACTCCTACATATAGAACTTTTATCCTAATATATATATGTATATATATGCACTTTTCGATACATTTTTTGCATTCCGTGATACCATAAGGTTGTAATAAGTTGTGAAGAATTTTTTCTAATGTATTTGTTTTAAAGTAAGTATTTATTAAATATTTCAATTGATGTTCTAATATGTTTAGAGAATTTAATGTATTCGGTACACCTATGGGAATTTAAGAAAAACGAGGTGGCGTTTCGTACGATACAGGTATATCGATTGTGTGTGTAGGGTGGCCGGCATGGGTGAAGGCCAGCGAAGGCCGTAGAATGCCATACGATTTTCGTAACGGATATTCGGAAAACTCACTGTTGTTCAGATACATCGAACGATGATCACAGACGTGAGATGATGCCTGGGATGCCGAATAATTCTCGTCAATTGGTTACTTCTAACGGTGGTAAATTATCAATTGGAAACAATTGTTTGTAACATTTTTGCATTACCATTTTTATTAAAGCTTGACAGATGTTTAACGTATTATCATTAATTTTTAACTAAAGATTCACATTACATTATCATTTAAATGATTATCTTTATCATTTCTATATATTTGTTTATACGTAAACATGAAAAAAAATATTAATTGACATGTTATTGATATTTATGTATATGTTTCTTAATATATTTTTGTTTATTTCTTACAAAAGGTTAATCATTTATTTATGTAATATTATTGAAGGGGTTTTTTCAAATATTTCAATTAATATTAAATGTGATTGTGTTATGTAACTATTTCACTAAGAAGTTTACTAACTTTTAGTACAATTTGATCACTTTTCAATTTTCATTATACTGCCATACATTAATGATAACTTAAAACATTCATTTTTTTAAGTTACTGATATTTGTGTGTGCATGTGCTTGTGTACGTGTTTTGTGTGAAGGTTTAAAATTAAATATATACGTTAGTAATTAACATTTATTGCGAATAGATACTTGTGATATTAAAGTATATAATGTGTTCCTTAGGCTCCGAGTGGGATTCCTTGATGGAAGTTCATCATGAACCAATAGAAAAAAATTATGAGTTATTAGAAGAAATTGGAAAGTGAGTATTTAATTATTTAATTTGTTATTTTTCGAATGTTGACATCTCCTTGTTTATTATAGGGGTCAATTTGCCATAGTACGAAAATGTGTGGAGATAAAAACTGGAGCATTATATGCAGCCAAAATTATGAGAAAAAGAAGAGTTGCCAGAGGAGTAGCTGCAGCAGATATTGGTAAGTATTGATGTTAACATATCATTTTTTAACAAATCAAATATATACAAACTCTTTTTAGCTCGAGAAGCTGGCCTTTTGGCACGATTGAGACATCCCAATATTGTTTCATTGCACAAAGTGATAGATACAGGCACAACAGTTGTATTACTTTTAGAGTTGATTTCTGGAGGAGAATTATTTCATTGGACACCCTCGGGTGAAGTAGATGCTGCTCATGTGGTTTGTATTTAAGAGCATAGAATATCTCACTTATATTGCCATTCATCATTTCTTTATAAATGTTTTTTAATTATTGATTATAAAAAATATAACTTATACAATTCTTCTCTACTTTCAAAGGTACGTCAAGTTTTAATGGCACTTAGTCATTTACATTCTCATCAGGTGGCTCACTTGGATATCAAACCTGAAAATATTCTTCTTTCATCTCCTCCTCCTATGCCAAGCATTAAATTAATAGGTAATCTATTTGTTTGAGATATAAAAGTATGACAGTTAAGTATTACAATTAATTTCCTTTTCAGACTTAGGTCTTTCACATCGTTTGGTTCCTGGTTCAGAACACAGAGCGTTGTTCGGTACTCCTGAGTTTGTAGCACCAGAAATTGTTAATTATGAACCATTAAGTCTTGGTACTGATCTTTGGGCGGTTGGCGTTCTTACATATATTCTTTTGAGTGGTGCATCACCATTTTTAGGAGAGGATAAACAAGAAACGTATGCAAATGTAGCAGCCTGTCAATATCAATTTGATAATGAATACTTTAGTAATGTATCAGAAATTGCTAAGGATTTTATAAGATCCTTGTTGATCAAGGATCCAAAGTAAGTAACAATACATAAATGAATTTTTTTATTAAGCAATATTTCATAAATTCAAATTAAATATTATTTCAGAGAAAGAGGAAGTGCAGAATCGTGCCTTAAACATCCTTGGATCCTTACGGTGTGTCCATAAATATTATTATTGTTATAAAGTAATCTTATAATACATTGTTATGCTATTTATTTATTTTTTGTATTTATTACGCATGAATATAATATAATTTTCAACATGAACGATCGTTCATAACACACTGAATGCTTTTTTAGTTAAAATGATAAGAAATTATGTATTGTACAAAAATTACATTTTGTAGAGAGAAATCATTTTTGAACTTTGTGTTTTGATTAGATTTTGTTAATATTTTTTAAAAAATATAATACAGACACACATAAATTTAAATGATGTATCCTATCCACTATATGCAATTGGTTTCATAGTAGTAAATACATAGTTTATATGAGACATAAAATGATTGTAATTATTATATTCCTTTTTCCTTCAGGAATCTGAAGCATCTAATGGACTTGGTGGAGCTATGATCAGTGCTGTCAAACGTGGTTGTGTTGAAGCTGTCTCTCAATTATTGTTGCAAGGAGCCCCATTGAACATGAAAGATTCTGTATGAAGCTTTTCTTTAATATTTATTAATGCGTTGAAATTAAATATAATAAATATCTTATGTTAATATATAAATATATTATTTTTTAAAGAAAGAAGATACACTTTTACATTTAGCTTGTGAGGCTGGAGATGAAGGAATGGTTACGTTATTAATAGAAAATGGAATAGATTTGGATACACCAAATAAAAAAGGCCTAACGCCATTACATGTGGCTGCTAGGCATGGTAATATCAATGTTGTTAGACATTTGTGCCTTGCTGGTTGTGACGTTGATAAGACGAATCGTGGAATACGTGCTGATGTTACAGCAATTAAATATGGTTATCCAGATATTGCAAATCTATTAGACAAGCTTCGAATAGTGAGTTTTCTTTCATAAATATAGTTTATATAAAAATATTTTAAATATTAATATATATCACGTGATATTATTTTAGCCAAGTCAACGTGAAAATTATATTAGACAATTACAACCAACGCATAGGCCAATTGATCGTTTACATGTAAGACTTTTGGGACATTGTGCATCAGGAAAATCTTCTTTAATTAGTTCCTTGAAATCTGGAATTTTTAGTTTTGGCTTTTTTCGGAGATCTAGAAGTCAAAATTATTCAACAAAGGTATATCACATAATATTAATCTCATTAATATTATACATTTTCTATTAGTTAAAATAATGTTTTAAAAAGAATAACTTTATTCAGCGGGATCCAAGTATTGAATTAGATGTGACTAGTAAACATGGTTCTCTTAGTTTTGAATACAGTGATAGTGAATATGAAGGTACACAAGGTGTAGAATGGAGTCGTGGAAATGTAGGTGAGGGAAAATAAATTTTGTCAATACATGTGATAGATTATAGATTTAGTATAAAACAATATTATATATATTTTTATTATTTTGTTTGATAGGAGGAGAATGCGTATTTTGGGAATTATGTGGCAGAGAAGAATACTTAGCATCTTACCATTATGTACTTACATTTCAGCAACCAGCAGTTCACCTTATTACAGTTAGTCTTCGAGAACCGCTTACTGTTCAACTTCAGCAAATTAAATTTTGGCTACGTTTTATTGTAGATCGAATTGCGCCAAATAATATTGGTATGTAGAAGTTTATTTTTAATTGTATTTTATTGCTTTTATACGTGTATGTTTTTTATTTTTCTATATAATATTTTTATTTGTTAAAGGGTTTGCTGGCAAATGCAGTGATATAAAAGTAATTTTAGTAGGTACTTATGCGCCAGAGCCTTTAGCACCAAATTCCAGTGGTGGTAGTCTTCTCGCACCACTTTTACCTTTTTTGAAAGATTTTACATTAATTTTGGGGGATGAGCCTCAAATGGTAGCGGTGGATGCAACCAATCCTTCTAGCCCTGGTTTGAAGCTGCTCAGATCTTATTTAAATAATGCAAGGATGGAGTTTCTTGAGGTGAAGCAACAATATTTCTCACGTTGAACGTGATAACACTTTATCACGCGCACTAGAAGAG